AGGGGCTGAGGGGCTAAAAAGAGCCCAGTGCCAGGGAGGGGATAGGAAAAGTGCAGCCCTGGGACTGGGGTGAGTGACTGGGCTTTCCCAGCCCCAGAACTGCATGGGTAACTGTGCTGAACTTCCATGCACTAGTTTAACCTAGATTGATTAATTCTGAGTGCACATTGATCTTAGACCAGGTTCTGCTACTTTAGACCAGTCTGTGTGCATGGAACTTCTGCAGTTACAGGTTTAGATTGATTTCCAATCACAGAGACTGGGCCTAAGTGCAAAGTCTGTACTTGGGTGAACTGAGTCAGATTGGGTCACTATTTTTAACCCCATCTAACCTCCCCCTCACCCCTGTGAATGTCTGCACTTAGCCCATGTTTTTTGTTTTTTTTTTGTAGTGACACTTCAGACAAGCTGTATAACTTTGAAAAAAATAAAGCCACACATTGAGGGAAAAATGCTATTTAAACTGCATCTCAGTTTGGGTTTGGCAAAGTAGATATAATAATTGCCTTAGAGTTTGTGGTGAGGGTTAAATTAACTAACATAACTAATATGGGAGTATACAAGGATGGTTAGCTATGTACTCATGATAAAATGTGTACATTCTGTTAAGAGTACAAAATGATTTGTCTAACATTTTCATCAGAGAAAAAGAATGGCCTTTACTTAAAGCACTGATTATTCACTGACTTAAAGTATTACCATTACTGAGGAGGACATAAATAATAGAATTTCAGCAATGCTTAGGTAGTGTTGCGAGAGTCTCTGCTTATTGGCTAAAGATCTGGATTGCAGATCATTGAATTAATTTATGCTCTAGTAATACTTCTGTTCTGGTCTGAACTTCTTTTGCTTTTCCTCTATGACCATGGAAGTTTTCAAAATATAAAATTTAAACCTACCATCTGATCAGTGGATGAATTTTGTACACAATTACAGTACTGAAAACAGATGAACCTTTATTCTCCAGTTCTGGTGCTGAGATAATTGAACGAAGTAGAACTGTATATGTTCCCTCTAGTGTGGTATGCCAACCAATGACAAATATTCTAACCAATAAAACTGATACAATTAGTATGTGTTTTTAAATAAGAGCAGACACTACTCAACACCACAAGGAAAAATGATACATTTCCAGAACAGATCCAGCAACATTCTCCAGACAAGGATGCAACTTCAACCTTTGCAGATATGACCTACAATGACTTTCATGAGAGCTAGGGAAAAAAAATCTATTTCAACGTTGCATCCAGCTAGTAAACCTTCTAGTAACCTCATATTTCTAGAAATAATGCTTCTATCAATGTATCAGGTAAAAAGAAAACCATTTTAAATGTGCATTATTGTGATAGATGTTCTACAAAGGTCCCATCTACACATTACTCTTAAGCTACTTACAGACATTAAAAAATAAAAACCAAAAAACCCACTCTACTGGAAGAAGTAGTACATTCATTTGACATGGCTTTACAGCATCTGTGTAGATTGGGTGCTTCAGTGGAGCTTTTTGGAGCTTTTAAAGCTAATTCATTCAGTTATTAGATAAAAGCACCTAATCTATACAGACATTGGGTGAGCCAGGTTCAATTAATACAATGTCTCTTCTGAGTATATGGTAGGCTCGGCATGGGAGCACAATACGTTTAAAGTGCTATTATAGCAGCCTAAGGACTAAATACTGACAGTCAAAACTCCTGAGGTTGAAGCAATTCAATCTTTGCAGATTAGTCTAAACTGCATAGACTGAACTAATAAGAAAGTGAACGTGTATTTACTTGTGATTCTGAAAATGCAGACACTTGACTACAATAGTGCAGGCCAGAAAGGGGCGGGGGGGCAAGGACAGTGTGCTAGAGCACACCTACCTGCTTGGCTAGCTCAAGGCTAGCTCACCCACCTTGCAAGAGGGGTTTGTGGGGAAGCTGCAAAGCATCCTGGGATGCTGGGGCACTATGAGTTAACTTGAATCCTCAGGGATGTTTAGCAATTTAATGTCCCTCAAAAAATATGATACTATTATATGACTGTCAGCCTATCCATTTTGTTCTATTATATTTAGACTCTTATGTGATCATGGTGGTGTGCCTATACATCCTATAAGCAATAAATGTAGTATTCATTTATCTATGTTTGTGTGTGTATACAAGTGCATGCGCCCATACAGCTCCCAAACTGTAACAACGATGTTAACTGAATTCTTTCAATGATTAATTTCTCAATATTTATTCTGACTCTCTTTCAGTTTAACAAGTTACAGGTTGACTTAATAGCTAGGGAAATGGAAGTGAGCTAAGCTTCCAGGACACCAGTTAAGGGGATGGGTGCTAAATACAACCCTACTCAGCATACCTAAATAGGGAAAATGGGATTATTATGAAAAAATATTGCAGCCATTAACCTTGTACATAGAAACAGGTTATAATAATGGTTTTCATTAACACAGTAATGAACCACAAAATAAGATAACATAACAAATGAAATAGATACTCAGATACAACAGGAATATCCATATATATTCACAGCCTCAGGAACTTGGTGCAATTTTTTCATGTAGACAATCCTTATGTATCAAACAGAATGGAGCCTTGATCTTGCTTGAAGATCCTTTAATTGCAACTGTAATAAATACCATAACTGTCCTTTGCAAAGATGATAAGCATGTAACTAAATTCCCAAGGAACAAAACTGAGTACTAAATGAGACTTGGAACTCAAAGATCATTTTTCAAGGCAAATATTCTGAGCAGGATGACAGAACTAAAATACACATGAAAAGGGCAAGCATTTTGAGGCAGATGGGCTTTTTCAGTTGTTAAATAATAGGAAAATACCATAGGTAAATTGTGTTCTTGGGCATAAAGTACTCTTGAAAACATTGGTATTGCCCCTTGAACATGGAGTACCCTGGCAAGAATTCAGCAGAATAGTCCAAGGTCATGCATTTTTTCTGAGAGAGAAAATCATCAATATAGTGACCTTATTGAAGCTTCTTCTGGCTAGATGATTTTAAATTTATGGAGCTGACTGCTGTAACTTTTGCAGGGGTTTAAAAATAAAACTGGACCAAAAAGTTAAGTCTTAACTCCACACCTAGTTCATTTTTGAGTGATGTTCAAAATGTATGCATTTAGCTGCATTTGAACATTACATATATTTAATAATGTTCATGATGTCCTGTTCTCTTCTCTTTTCCTGGGGTAAATTCATAATATTTTATAATACAGAGGGTTGCATCAAAGTAGCCTATTTGGTTGTAAATTGAACATTGCACTAGTATGCAACCATTTCCCTCACATTTTTTCCTCCTGAAAAATGCATTTGCATCTATTGACCCAATTAATGATGCTGCTTTGCATAGCATGTAGTCTATTCAAGTATCTATTTGACTGAAATTGACAGACATCTTTCACCTTGACAGCAAGGCAAGGAAAGGATCATTGACAATGTAGCTATTAATCTAAATTGTTTTCTGTGCATCTAGCGTGTGTTTTTTTACCTAGTCTGAAAACATTACATTTTTAATTACCATATATAGAGACTATTTATCTATTTCTCAGGTAGAAAATGGATTTTGAGAATGCATCTCAGGCTTACAGAGTAAAAGAGTCTTCATGTAGGCCAAAGTTATTTGTTAGATAAACTGCATTTTGAATCATTCAGGGTCTACCCTGCATCCCCTCAGTGGAAAACAAGGTTGTGGGGAAGGTTTCTACAATGTCATCAGTTTGATAGGTTCTAGGCGCTGTCCAAGGCAAGTTACCCTGACATACTATACCATTCTTAAAATGTTGCTCAATTATAAATGTACAAAACAAGGTTTTCTTAGGGTGATATCTTTTATTGGGCTTGTTATGTATGTCCAGAGTTAGACAATCTTTTGAATGCAAGGCATTCTTCCCCAGGTTCTGAGAGAGAATGTTTTACATTCAAAAACTTGTCTAACTCTATCACAACTACATAGTTGGTCCAATAAAAGATGTCACCACAAGAAATCCTTTCCTCACAATTTCTGACCCATCACTGCTACAACATCATTCTTATACTATCATTCAATTAAAAAAAATCATAAATCCAATAATAAATGTTTGCGAATTGGAATTCTATTTTAGAATGGCATGCATATTGTACAGTAAAGAATAAAATAATCCTGGCATAGTCTTCACTTCAAAAAGAAAATATATCTATGATGCTGAAACATTTGTTTATTTAGAAGATACAATTGGCATGGGTAGCTTATTTGTGTTTTTACCTTGATTAGTTTGACAGATATATGAAACTAGTAGGGAACAAGGAACTAAATTTTGCTGGTCTTATAGCTTGGAATGAGAAGTCTACATTTCCTTGATGGTTTTTATAGTTGTAATCCCATATAATTACATATTTTATATTTAGATATTCATACATGATTCCATTCCAGGAAAAGATTTAAGCCCATGGTTAGCTTCAAATTCTTGCTTTTAAGGTGAAGAATTAGCTCTTTTGAAAGTGATGGGAGTCTTACTATTGCTGTCAATGTGGCCAAAATTTCACCCACAGCATTCACTAGTTTTTCAGTAGAAGCTTTGCCAGCCTGGTGCAAAAACAACTGTTGTCTCCCTTCTAGTTAGTAGGAGTTGTGCATGGATCTTGATAATTCCAGGATTCCTAGCTCAGGGTAAATAAAAAACTCTACCACATTTAAAATACAGTAACAATGTCCACTAAATAACCAGCATCCCAGGTTTCCAGACACATTATTGCTCAGACATGACTTAAAATATTTTCTTCATTAAAACATCCTGGGCTAAAAGAATCTCCACAATTATGCTTTCCAATGACACTCAACAGATGTGATAGAGTAGTCACTAACCAAATTAGTCTGAACTCAGGTACAAGGTAAGGAAGGGTAGCAACAGGGAGGTTAATTTGGAAACATACTATGAAACATCTGATAAAGTAGGCCATCGCCTACCAAAGTTTATGCCTATGACAGAAATAGAGCCCCAGAGGAGACTTACCTGGGGGGAAAGATGAACAGAGCCAGTGCAAAGCCACACTGAGCCAGAGAAGTGGCAGTCACAAAGCCGTAGCCAGGGAGAATGCCGTGCTGGAAAGAAAAATAAAGCAAAAAGCAGCTGACCTGGGAGGAGCCGGGACTAGCTCCTGTGCCAACATGAGCACATTTTATGGCCATGTGCTGATGCCGATTTGCCAGCCAGCCCATTGAAAAGGGAATAAAAACCCCACCAGACAAGAGGCAGGGGGAATCAGAAGTGGGTTCCCCAGTGGGCACTGAGAAGCCCAGAGTGGAGCAAGGTCACATTGAGGGAAAGTGGTAGCAGTCCCAGGAAGGGTTTTTTGGAGATAATTCAAGCCCAGAAGGGCTATATTACTCACCTGAAGCAGAGCCATGGACTCCTGACATCTCCTGACTGGATTGGACCCATCATGAACCTGTGGAGAGAAGGAGAGACAGCTGTCCACACCACAGCAACTGCAGGCCAAGGAGAGAAGAACTGACACTGGGATACAAGGTAACCTGGGGTCAGGAAGAGGCTAGGCCAGGCCCACTATGGCCTAAACAGAGTGGGACGAACTGACACCTGTATACATGTGTCATGGTGCAGTAGGAAGGCCGTGATCTCCCTAAGGCCCCCTTTACCATGCCAAGTTGACCCAATGGGCATCCTCGACTCTCGCCCACCACGTCTTTGATGACAAAATATATTTGGGAGGCTGCCTTTTACACCCTCTTGGTCACGTCTTGCTGGACACTTGGGCCCTGTGGTTTCCCAGACCCTTCGTGGGTCCCACTTTGCAATGGGTGCTTCAGGGGCACCCTAGCCTTATGGGCGATGCGTGGCTCCAACCACCCTTTTACTATGCCCCAAGCCTCACAGATCAAATTGACGTTGTTCAGTCATGGCCTTGTTATAACGTGGCTCCCTTGTCCTCTCTGGGCCATGAGCTGCCCTGTCTGGCTCTGCGCCCTCTCTGGTGCTCGTCACTGCCACTCTCTCTCTGGCACTTGTCACTGCTGCCCCCTCTCTGGGGTTTCTCCCAGGCTGCCCCCTCTCCTGGGGCTTCTCAAGTGCTGCCCCCTTCTCGGGCTCACCATACCCACACTGGGGCTTCTCACCAATGCCCCCTCTCTGGGGCTTCTTGCTGTCCTCCTCTCTGGGGCTCACCACACCCATGCTGGGGCTTCTCATCAGTGTCCCCTCTCTGGAGCTTCTCAACTGCCCCTTTTCTGAGGCTGGGGTCAGTGCACCCCAAATGCTGCACCCTCACTGGTGCTGGGGCCCCCACACTGCTGTGGTTCCCCTATGAGGCCTCCTCTAACCCCTAATAGCCTCACCCCAACCACCGGTTTTAAGCAGTAAACAAAACGCAAGCCCTTTGGCTATAACATAAACTGAAGGTGCCCAGCTATAACCACGTTACTCCAAACACCCTAGGGATACTCCATCCTTTACCTGGCTCGGGCTGTACCTGCAGTCAGGCCTCTCCTCTCAGCTTTGCTCCAGCTGCTGGTAGGGAACTGCTAGCCTGACCTCAGCCCCTGGGCTTTATATGGGAGCCAGGCCCTGCCCCTTCTGGTCAGCTGGCCTCCTCCGGTTGCCCTGGCAACCCCTATAGGGCTCTTCCCCTAGCAGTTTTCTCACTTCTTAGGAGCAGGGCACCTAAGTGCTCTGTGACAACATTTATACCAATTCAAAAGGCCAAGATATGTGTAACGGTACCGTGATCAAACTCAGAAGGCTGGGACTCAACATCATTCTTTGGCATTAAGTGTGGTGTAGGGGAGGCAGAGCCCCAAATGGGAAGACAGACAGGAAGACTGAAGGAGGGGACCAGGAGGGATGGAACATACATCTTCCTCCCTACTAAATACATTTATTACAGCAAAGACATGGCAGGAAAGAACTCCTGAGGACCCTCTGGATTCTGACTCAATAGCAGGCCATCTTTTCCTTGAGCAATGGAGACATCTGAAAAACCCATACAAACCAGATGCACTGGTGAACAGCTAATTACAATGTCTTTCTAAACAAGTTAGTCTCCAAAGGGGTAACCCTGTGTGCTTTGCTAGACTAGATTTGATAGTATAACACAAAATGTTACTCATGAATTTTCTTTTTTGGAAGGCTCTTGTTTGCACTGCTGATAATCTGCTCCACTGAAATTATCAGAGGACCCACTTCTCTTCTTGCTTACTCGAGTTTTATACTTGTGTAACATTATTTTTTATTTCTGTGAGTTTACACCAACAATAAAGTAAGTGTCCATCAGAATCAATGCCAGAGTGCTTCTAGACTTTTTGTTAGAAGAGAAAACGGCATAGTTTCATGTAAGTGGAGTTAAGGATATACCTAATTGCTTCTAACATGCTTCCATCCTTCCCTCCACCCTTCCTTTTCCCCCTCCCACCCATGTTCCAACTCTCTCTCTCTCTCTTTCTCTCAGGGCTTTATCCTAAAAATAAATAAATAAATAAATAAAGGCTGAGCATTTTCACTCTGCTCTAGCAAAGCCCACAATCAAAAATCTAATTTTAACTCCCAGTGATTCCTTTTGGACTAGCAGCTGAAAGTTAATTATGTACTTAAATAGTTTGCCCCATCAGGCTCAGAATTCTTGACATATTGGAGGACTGACCTCTTGTATTTTGTCTTGGAGTTTCTCCTATAACAGACAAAGATAATGGATTACTCAGAAGTGTTAGTATAACCCATATTGCTACAATTAGTGAAACATGCCATTATATTTCATTAGCAAGCTCAATTTTTTTTTAAACTTCATACTAACACATAATGAAGTAAAAAATAGTCTTCAGGTAAGAACTTCAAACAAAAACAAAACAAATAAAACTAAACTAAAACAAATGAAACCAAGCTCATATAATTGCTAAAGAATGGGAAAAAAAATATTCTTGCCTCTTAACATCTACCAAACTTCATGCATAATTACCTAATATTCTACAAATGAATAATTATTTAACACTAGAGACTGAAAGAGAGAGAGAGAGAAAGAAAGAGAGAGAGAGAGAGAGAGAGGTTCAAATCTTACAAACAGATCTTGCATTTCCTCTGGAAAGATTAGTACCATAGGAAGAAAAAAATATCATTATATATAACACATTGGAAATATTCTTCTCTAGAATGGATTTGAACTGGAATTCTTGCAGATTTGGGGGAAAAAAATGATATCCTACTGTGAAGGCTGCAGGTATCCCTTGGGAGTGCAGGAGGTCAAATCTGCTTAATATATGAAGAAAATTTCCGAGGGGAAACATTCCAAACATGATTAACACTATACACCACTTTTACACATGCTCCAGGTATGAGGGGTGAGTGGTTTAATTAGAGTGGCTCCAAGAGCCACTCTAATTAAAGTGCCACAACATCTCATGTATTAGTGTCCCCACACTTCAACATGGAGTTGGGGGCATTTGAATGAAAGCTCAAACAAGCATTAGCATGGGGATGCTAATACACAAGACATGGAGGCTGGCTGGAGCACAGTAATTACCACACTCCAGCAGACTCAATTAATCAAGTCTGCTTCGATGCTCTGTAATTACAGCATGTCAGAGCAGCCCCACAGCACATCTACAGGTACCCATATTTTCTATCCTAATGTGTATTTGGGGTGAGAAACAGGCACATACAACAGTAACCAATGGTACACAAATGTTTTGGGATCTATCTTCCTAGGGATAGTTACGCATTTGTGGGTGGAGCTGGAGAAGGTTAGAATTCAGCTTGGCTTGGACCAGTCCTGTTCTAACAGCTCAATTCCCATGCAGACCAGCCCTACTGGATGAGTGGAGAGAAGTACTCTTTCTTTTCTTTTTTCTTTTCTTTTCTTTTCTTTTCAAAAGAACAGGAGGAAAGGAATTAGGCAAGCGAAACTCTCACAGAAGTCAATAAAATTATCTTCTCCCTTAGGTTTTTCACACTACAGAATGATCGCATAAAGAGTCCTTGAGAAAGAACAGAATATCAGAATAAGGAAATTTGGAACTTGCCATCTGTTATCATCATGGGGAAAAAATTACGTGAGAATTGTATTTCTATTTATAGGGAAGAGTACTCTCCCTAGCCATGTACAAATGAGTCACTGTCTCCTGCAGGACACAAATTACCTCCTATGCTGACGGTATTTACCTACGGTCATGGAACACTAAGTTACCCTGATTTAGACTGTGATTTTTGTTCCAACTCCCAGGTTGCTACAATTCCAATTATTCTTAAATGTTGTATTGAGATTCATTTCAGCAAAAGTAATGCAAATAATCTGAGTGAAAATATTAACACTGCCTTTTTTCCCCTAGCTATGAAAAGCAGCTTACAGATGGGAGAAAGAGGAATTAAGCAATGCATATCTCAATATTTGCAATATTTGCTAAATGAAGGATTTAGCAAAAAATCTTTGGTTCCTGAATGAATAATTCTAAGAGGGGGTCCTATATAGAGAGCTGGGGGTAAGAGAAGGACAAAAATTCGCAAAGGCAAAAGACAATAATATTAGTTTGATGTACTTTAAATATTGTTGACTAGGCACATTATAAAGTATCCCTGTTGCCTATAGTTCTTGGCTTATATGGTTCTTGGCACCATGTTAATGGTGTATTGTTACTCTATTTTGTCGTACAATTATATTTACCCTTGTCTTTAAATTGCAGAGGATAGTGTGCTGTTGATTCAAGCTGTGAGATTATAAAATACTGAAATATTAGTTACATTGACTTAAGTAGGTATGTTTTTACATTTTTATAGGAGTTTTTAAAAATAATTCTTTGAACAATACAATGCTTAAGGTATGCTGGTTGAAAGCAATAAACAGCTTTACATGTTGTCTTGGCATTATGAACTGGAGTCTTAAAAAAAAAATCAGAGTTGGGAAGATAAAGGAACATTTCATGATTTGAAAATGTTTCTTTTTTTTTCAGCACAGATACAGAAGGGAAAAGACCAGATAACCTGTCACATAACACAGGTAGGGGAGGGACCTCATCTGGGCTTGCAGGGGAAAACCCCCTTTGTGTACTGTAGGAGATTCACCCTCCTTAGCTTGAAGAGAAAAGCTCTGCAGGTGGACAGACTGGACAGAAAAGTGTTGCATAAAGTCTGTTCATTCTCAACACTAAAAAATTGAGGTCTTATAAGTCTTTCCCCTACCTGAGAGCATCACTGTATGTTGGGAATAAAAGCTCTTCCCCTCTTGCCTCTTTGAGACTAAAGAAGGATTGAGATTTGAGGCTTTATAATGGATTTCTTGCTACTTGCTTTTTTGGAACTGGGAGAAAGTTGTTCCCTCACAGTTTGATTAGTTTAGGTAATTTGAGTTTTTTACCTTCTTTTTATTAGTAGAGAGATGTGCTGGAGGTTTGACAAATTCATTTAATCACAACTGGGTTGGCTCTTACCAGAGCCAATGTTCTGTATGTGTCTAATTCTCTCATAAAGTAGAACTGGAATTGGATTGGAATAAGGGATTTCCTAAAGGTGGTGGGAGATGGGAACAAAGCTTCTAATAATGAACCCTCATATTCCACATTACATTAACCCTCATAAAAGAGAAAAAAGGCAGGGTCTCAGGTATGGGCCTGGGACTGGTTTAACGTAGCAGGAGCCAATGGCCACAGTAAACCAGTAGAACAGATTACCAAAGGTGGAACAGATTACAAAAAAAGGATGACCTGCATTGCATGAGCTATTGTTCAAAGGTTCCCAGATGCATTAATGAATCATTGTTTTGACCTAGCTAGCTAAACTATATTTCTGGAGCTGTATGTTTCTTCTGCCATAATTAAAGCAGTAGTTTTCAAGCTCCTTAGACTAAAAGTACCCCTCAGAAAATGCCAGCTCTTAGTTTTCACTCATTTTTTCAACTACAGACAAGTATTAGAGCATTTTTTTGGTAGAAAGAACTATAATAGATCACAGCAGACCAGAAATATTTTGATCCTATGGATTCCTATTCAAATCTCTGGCTTTCCTTGTGAGTCATGTTTGCACACCTAACAATGGTAACTCTGCATGGAACCCTGTGGCACCCTTGAAAAGATTTCAGTGAATCCCAGGGTGTCATGGCACACTGGTTGGGAATCACTGATTTATAGCAATGAGTTTCTACATAAGGATTTAATTTAATCAAAGGAAGCATTTAATTTGACCACATTTATTTAAGCAATGTGCTGCTAAAAAGAAAGAAAGTCCATGGTGGACTGAATAGGGGTAAAGATGGGAAATGGTTTATAAGTATGGTAGAACGTGGTGACTGTACATTCTAGTGTGGCTGCATTACTTTACCATAAAACAAAATGACAATGTTATCAATATTTTACTGTAGATTTTAATTTTTAAATATGGGTTTTAATACTTAGATGTGATTTTCAAATTCTCATGTGCTTTGATGGGAATTATGCAAGGAGCCGAAGTGGCATTTAACATTTCAAGTTTTTGGTAGTGAAGAATGGAGTCTCTGACTTCTGGTGAAGTAATTCATATCAATCTCTTCCAATATTATCACAAAAATATTAATCTCTGGATGAATATTTTCTTATTATCAAAATGTATTTGATAAGTTGGTAGCCCTAGTTCAGTTCCTAAAGAACACATTCTTATTACAAAATTAGCATCGGCATATTTAGAATTTAACAAAATGCCAAGGATAGGGAAGGCACTGAAACTGATATAGGATTTTCTAATGCAATTGAGAAAGCAGTGATCTTAGACCAGAGTCAATGCATGTGTATAAAAGCCAGCACTGAGATGTTTACACTATTGAATTAAACCTGGACAGTCCCCTGGCTAATACCTAGCACCATTTAAGAGCGCTGCATTCCATAATACATATTTTAAAGCAACATTTACAGATTAGTTGCAAGGCATGGCCATTGTTAAAGGGAGGAAACAAAGCACCAGAAGAATGGTATGAGAACAATATAGCTCCACAAGGAGCCTTTAGGATGTCTCAAATGCAAAACAAAAGCACACAGGCAATAGAAGAATGAGCAAGGTCACTAAGGAAGCATACTGGAAAACAGCAAGAAGTTTCATGTGGAAGGCAAATATAAAGAATTAAATGTGCCAGGTGAGAAAAATTAAAGAAAAAAAAGAATAAGCTGTATACATGTGTTAGTCAGAAAAGAACAGCCAAGGAAGCTGTGGTTCCATTGTTAAATAGCCAGGATTAACTTCTAAGAGAAGATGCTAAGGAGGCAGAGCTACTCAATAGCTACTTTGCCTCAGTGTTGACAAAAAATAATAAAATTACATCTCATAACCAAACACCTAATAAAGATTATTTGGATAAGGAAGAGGGAAAGCTGAGGGATGAAATAAAAGAAACAGTAACCCAAAACAGAACTTTGGATGAGTCTTAGTGAATTCAAGTCAGCAGGACATGAAGAACTTCCCAGGGTACTGAAGGAACCAGCCAAGGTGATCACAGAGGCTTTAGCAATAATCTTTATGAAGTTGTAGGAGACTGCTGAGGTACAAGAGAACTTGAAGAAAGCCAATATAGTCCCCCTCTAAAAAAGGGGAAAAGGAGGACCAATTGAACTACATACATGTATCCTCACCTCAATACTAGGAAGTTACTGGAGCACATTCTAAGGAAGTCCATTTGCATCTGGAGACAGGAAGGGTAATCATAAGTAGCCAACATGGGTT